AGGGTTCCTGTGCGTCTGGAAGGAGGTCGGTCGACCGGCCCGGTCGACCGACGGCTCTCTGGATTTTTGGGGCTTCTGCTGGATGGTGATCCCGGATTCGTGCACAAGGGTTCCTGTGCGTCTGGAAGGAGGTCGGTCGACCGGCCCGGTCGACCGACGGCTCTCTGGATTTTTGGGGCTTCTGCTGGATGGTGATCGGTCGACCGGGCCGGTCGACCGGAATTGATCGCGGTCGACCGGTCCGGTCGACCGACGAAGCGGATATCAATATTGTTTGTGGTTTAGTTCTAGTTATTGTTCGTGTTGCCCTAGAAAGCTTCCGCCGCGCACAACAAAAAGAACAGAAAGATTCAGAAATGGGAAGGAGAAAACCCGGCTTCTTTCAGTACCATGACTTAACAAGAACTTAGTTTCCTTCTACATGGTTCTCTCGACGTTCCTAGTATACTCTACCTGGTCATCTACGTCGGTATAAGCCCCATTTGAGAGTTATCTAGGTGTAGCATCTAATATCCGAGGAGCAGGAGAAAATATATGATATGAGTCTTAGCGTAAAATACAAAATATGCCCTCTTGTGCTACAGAGTATAACTCAATTTTGTTGAACATAAACCCCCTACATTATATATAGGGATAGCATAGATAACTATGTTTGGACGTCACAAGGTGTGAGTGTTAATTAAAAATTTATGACTAGATAATCTTTTGTAGCTGATGAAGAGCTTTTTGCTCTCTTTCCACTGAGCCAGATCACAATAACCCAAACAAACTCAAAATAGTATAGCCAGTATTTACACCAGTGCCAGGGGCACTCAGCAGAAAAAAAGTACAAAACCAACGCCAACAAGCCAAAATCATTTAAAACTTGCATGCTTTCTCTGCAGCACTCCTTACTCTTTAAGGTAGCTTAGGCAAGACCTTTTTCTTTTATCCCATTTTCCTTCTCATTTCATGTCTCTAACATCTGCAGATTCTCTACCCAACTATAAACCTAAATTCCAATAAAATACTCAACAACCAAATCAAATGAATAGCATCCAAACCTTCAACTCCAAGTTTTTGCAATTACTAGTAATGCAAGTAACCTGCACCATATAAGGATGGAAAAATAACTAACCAGCACTTTATAAATTAGTGAACAACAAAGAATTGATGAGTATAAATTTTATCCTACTGCAAGAAAATTAATCTCCACTGCTCTAAAACTCTATAAACTATGTGGGATCAAATAGTTTTAGGATTGTTGCTGGTAAGTGTACTTGTCCAATTCCTTCAATATTACCTTTGCAGCTGGAGTGCTTACTTTCTCAATTTGACATTAAAAATTAACCCCTAAACAGAAGAAATTTGGTATTTCTTGGGTTGTCCATTACCATAAACAAAATCAAGAAAGATGTACTTCAGCCGGCTAAGCCTGCATATAAATATAGACGCTACATATATACATACCTATAGCTTCATCAGTTGAAGCTCTTATACACATTTTATCCTCAGGTTATGGCCTCAGCATTCCCCCTTTTCTTTATCTTTTTTCTGTTGATAACTATACACATTTTATCCTCAGGTTATGGCCTCAGCATTCCCCCTTTTCTTTATCTTTTTTCTGTTGATAACTACAGCATTTTCTTTATCTGTTGCCCTCCTCAGCATTCCCCCTTTTCTTTATCTTTTTTCTGTTGATAACTACAGCATTTTCTTTATCTGTTGCCCTCAAGATTCCCAAGCTGGGTCTTGTTAGAGAGAGCACACATGGAAAATTTTTGATATCTCAATCAAATCTCAATGAAATCTCTTCAAGTGGATATAAATTCTACAACTATAGCCAGACGATTGACCATTTCAACTACCGGCCAGAGAGCTATGATATTTTCCAGCAGAGATATGCGATCAATGACAAGTATTGGGGCGGTGCAAAGAACAACTCACCGATATTTGTCTACACTGGAGATGAGGCTTCTCTTGAGAGTGTAATTCGTTCAGCTGGGTTCCTTGTTGACAATGCTCCACACTTCCAAGCACTTTTGGTAGTTATCGAGGTGAGATTTTGAAGCTCATCAGATGATCCTTTTCCTTGGAAAAGTTTCGACAGAAAACAAAAATGATAGGCACATTCTTTTATCAAATTATATATGTTTATGGTCTAATTGACATTTAGCCGTCACATCTGAGAGCACTGTATCTGGAAAAAACTATTACCGGTACGGTATACAAATTTAACCATGATATCAGACATATACATGTCATGTGCATGTATGTATGCATACGGACATGTATTTTATAGATATGTTAGCCTTCATTTAATAGTCTATTTCTCCATAAGAATATTCAAAGCATTTTTTCCTAATTAATAAAAGAACCTGTTCTCCAAAAACAATAAATACATAAAGTAACCTAAGAATTTATGACTATAGTTTTCTTCAGAAAAATATAGTATAAATCTTCAGTTATGGATAGCTTTCTGTTATGTCAGTATGAAAACATTTCCCTATAGTGAGATTATGAGAGAATTCATATGGTCAAAAGGTTCCATGAAAGGTTAAGAAGATAGGACGACTAGTTCAAGCTATAACTTGTTTTAAAAAAATCATTTTACATTCACTTAAATTATCAGAACTAATAGTTAGTATTTCAATTTATTAAAAATTAGCTTTTATACCTATCTTGAAGCATCGATATTACGGCGAATCAAACCCTTTTGGTTCTAGAAAACAAGCATATCAGAACACTAGCACCCTTGGATATTTCAGTTCTACACAAGCTCTCGCAGACTATGCTCAACTGATTACAGAATTGAAGAAGAACTTATCTGCTAATAATTGCCCTGTGATAGCGATGGGAGGATCCTATGGAGGAAGTAAGAAAATTACATCTTATAATAAATTAGTTTCTCAAACTTTATCATGAGATCTTCATTGCTAATGTTGCTGACCATCGCTCTTCTGTCAGTGCTTGCATCCTGGTTTCGTCTGAAGTACCCTCACATTGTCATCGGAGCTTTTGCTTCATCAGCCCCCATTCTCTACTTTGATGATATTACTCCTGAAAATGGATATCTTAGTATTGTTACAAAGGATTTTCAAGTAAGTATCTCAATAATAAATCTAATTCTCTTGACCTGAGCCATTCATATTGTTAATACACTAATATATCGTGGCCGCAGGAAACAAGCAAAAGCTGCTACAGAACCATCAGAGAATCATGGTTTGAGATAGACAAATTTGGTCTTGAAATCAATGGTCTCAGTGTTTTAAGCCAAATATTTCACACTTGCCGGTAACCATGATACTTTTAAGTTTTTTTCCCTTCATGGTGCTACTATATTTTTACTTCTGTTCCTTTTTCTTTGTTCTATAACCTTCAAGCCCGCTGAATAATACTCCAGAACTCAAAGATGCCCTAGCATCGATATATAGTGCAGCGGCTCAATATGATGATCCCACGACGCAACCTGTTAATTTGTTATGCAGTGGCATTGATGGTGCATTTGACGAGGCCACAATTCTTGAAAGGGTATTTACTGGTATTACGCCATGGAATGGCAAGAAACAATGCTTTGATATTGATGTATACAATATTGATGATTCTGCATCTGAAACAGCAATTGGATGGTATTGGCAGGTAGAAAGCTTTACCAGTTGCAAACCGAGTGGAATACCACCATCATATATGATCTTTGCATTAAAATATACCAAAATTCTTGATTCCAATAAATTTTTTAAAATTAATACTCACCTAAAGTTTTTGATTCAGACTTGTAGTGAAATGGTCATGCCTATTGGTTGTGATAGCAATGATACTATGTTCCAAGCGCAGCCATTTAACATTTATAACTACACAATGGACTGTCAAAAAAAGTGGGGTGTAACTCCAAGACCCCACTGGATGACCACCGAATTTGGTGGACATGTAAGTTACTTTGGTTTATAAATAATCTCTTTAGTATTTTATTTACGTTCTTTGATTTTTTGCCTAGTTTTTAAAAATGTTCTAGGACGAAGTCACGTAATCATAATCGAGTATAAGGTACAGTATGCATCAAGTATAACAGATAACAACAAAAACATATACCTGCAACCGCCATCTACACTCCATGTAAACCCAAAGCTAGAGATACAAACCTGAAACAACAAAGAAGCACTAGAAATTTAGACTTAGTGATGTCTTCAGAAGATCTTTAACAGCAAGAAGATGCCTTCATTGGGGAGAAAAACTCATTAGAAACAGCATCCCCAAATCCGGACACTATCCACAGGTCGTATATTTCCTTCGAATTATTCTATTTTCTCAACCTTTTACTCCTTTGTTTTTTTTTTCATTTTTTGTATAACACAACTGAGCTGCTTGTAATTCAGTAAAAAGTCAGAACTTGTACTTAGGTTATCTAACTATGTAAGTATATTTATTATTGCTTAGTGTAGTCTAAGTCAAAGTTAATGGTCTCCTTTTTTCCATGGAATTTTCAATTTCCCTCCTTTCTCGCCTCCTTAACAATATGTTAATGGGTGAGAAACTTCCCTTCTATCTGACCCAAAACACAAAATAATAATAATAATAATAATAATAATAATAAATCACGTATACAAAGAGATAGACCATATGACCACTGATAGAATCATAAATTGTTTTGCATAAAATCTATAATAGTATTGTAACCTACATCTGCAAAAAATACAAAAAATGACCCAAAATATCACACTATAAAAATTTCTATCACCTAAAGTTTTTTTTTCTAATAGTTAAAGATTACTTGGCTAGAATAATTGAAATCCACGACAAATCTTAAGCAAATATCAAGAAAATTTGAAGTGATTTATTAGACAGATTGATGCTGATACTTTCTAGAACCCTTACTAACATGTCTTCGATTATTTATTACCGCTAATTTCCAACTATAAGTTTACATCAGTGGATATGTGTATGCACGTCTAATTGTAATATTTTTAAATGGTTGAACGAATCCATAGACCCATATAGTCTTATTTATTTATTTGTACCATCGGCAGTCCATTCCTGATTAAACCTACATCTTTTTTCGAGAACTGACTTTTGCATTGCATCTGGTATCTGCAGAATATCAAGTCAGTACTCAGAAATTTTGGGAGTAACATCATATTTTCCAATGGTCTTAGAGATCCCTACAGTAGTGGAGGGTAACGAATGATTCAATCCCTGTGTTACTCTTCTCTATCTGTTTTGTTTACCATTATAATTTCCTTTTTTGGGCTGGAATTATTGTAGGGTGTTATGCAATATATCAGATACCATAGTCGCTATATATACAACCCAAGGTATGTTTTCTCCTTTCCGGCTCCTGAATCGCTACTTTCAGCTGAAACAGAAATAGTTGATCACCATATGGTTTTGCAGGATCACATTGCTTGGATATATTACCAGCGACACCCGCAGACCCTGAATGGCTAATCGCTCAAAGAAATGAAGAGGTTAAAATCATTGAGAGATGGATAGCAGAATACAAAGCTAACATCATCGCATAGATAAGAAGCTGGACCCTGTCTGCGTACATCTCTATCAATGAGTTGGAAGAGCAAGGAAACAAGGAGCTCTACAATCTGGAAAAAAGTTGTTGCTGAAATAATAGCGGGTTTTTCTTCTTCTGTAATTCATTTTGATAGTCTATATAGATTCAGGGAAAAAATGGACTCAAACTCAATGATAAAAAAGAAAGATGCCTATTTGTACTAGAAATAAAGTTGTTTTAGAAACAAGAGTGGTATCCTTCAAACTTGAATAAGAAATCAGGATCGATCTTTCTAACAATCAACAAACAAGTCCTATAGGGAACAACAGATAAGAAGACAAAAAGGACACAAGGATCATATATATGGTTCACCAACCATATCTATAAGAGAGTTTACCGTAGGCGTAAGTGACTACTCGCCTTCACTTATTTCAACAATATATCATACACGATGAACTCATGAACAAGAATACACTTGTCGTTGTCAAGTCCAAGTGTATTGGGTTTCAAATCATAACTAAACTGATTTTCCCCCCTCTAGAAGCACATTCATTGCATATGCCAAAATCTAAGCTTTCTAGCCTTGTTAGCCAATTGATTCTATTTAAGGAGCTTCAAAATCTTAATTAAACTGAGGATTCTATTTCGCTGAGTTCTGTTACTAAATTTCAATTCCATTTTGGTCATATCTACTTCATATTTGGGTTTTCACTTGTAATAACCTTCAAAACTTCGGTAATTACTAAAAATTTCCTCCAGATCTTCAAAGCCAATTTACTCTCCACTTTCTTGATAAACCTCCTTGACAATAAAATAAAGAATATTCCTCAGTTTTACCTCCTTATACCATCATTCGTTTCAACACAAAATAGAGGGATCTTTCACATTTTGCCATCCACTTAAGTATTAGTAATAACTAGCATCTTCCATTATTAAGATGACCGATTTCCTAAACCTCAACCCACACTTATTTCAACAAAAACTTAATCTTAATCATAAACAAAGGAAACAAACAATTATCTAAACAAAAACCAGAAAATCCACTTACCTCCAACCCTGCATCTCAAGGAACCAGTAGGTAGTAAGCTGTAGAGGACTCATGTTCAAAGGGTAAAACGGCTTCGACATTCTGGAACTTGGTGATCTTCATGCTTTTGCGATCAGTGGAAATCATGGAACTGAGGATAATGGTGAAAGGGACAAAATTGGGCTAGTAATCGAAGAGTAAGCAGGATCGGTGATGCCAACACTCCCACTTATGTTATCAGTTAAAAATGGCATGAATATATGTTAGCTAAATCAACTTGTCTATTAATACTAGCTGCATCTTTAGTTATCATGATGTTTGACATTTTATTGTAATAAAGGGAAAATATTCAGCAACAAATTTATTTTTCATTCAAGCTTTTAGCTATTACTACCCCAAGTCTTCTTTGCAAAAACAGTAGAAACCAATGCCTACAAAGCCAAAAATCATCTAATACTTGCATATATTGTTTCAGCATTCCTTTAGTCTTTGAAGTATCTTATACAAATCTTATCTTTTCTCCCATTTTCTTGTCCAATTCTTCATATGTCAACCATCTGAGGATTCAAACCATAGCCCGCAATTTCCGCAAATTATCCTTCATTTTCTATGGCCTCTCAATCCATCTAATTCATTTTCGGTGAAATCGTTATACGACATCCTCATCAAAGGAGGAATTTTATCCCCTTTCCACAATTTCATTTGGAAAACCCCTATCCACCTCAAGGTTAAAACCTTCCTGTGGATTCTAAGCAAGAAAAAGCTTCAAACAAAGGATAATTTGCTCAAAAAAGGTTGGACGGGTGACTTATCTTGCCCACTTTGTAGCCAGATGATGGAAACCCATGATCACCTGTTTATATCGTGTCCCTTTACCCAAGCTGTATGGGCCATCTTGCTACCATCTTCTTCCACCAGCTTATGGCCTCAGGAGGTAACAAGTTTGATTAAAGGCAAAGAAGAATTCTTGGTCAATCAGAATCATAAAGCTTTATGGAGGATTTTGTTTCCCTGTACATGCTGGTGCATTTGGAGGAGCCGCAACAACTTTATTTTCAATAATACTCTCTCTTCTCCCTCCTCTATTGCAGCTAATTCTTCCCGCTTTGTTCTCTACTGGACAGGGGCTTCTAAGAGCAAAAAATCACAGAGGATGCTTAATGCGGCAATAAACTCTGGTCTGCCAGCGATAGCGGAATCTTCTCGGAATGAAAACTTCGAAGAAAATCATCCTTAAGGGTTCGGGTCCCCAGGAGATCCTTTTGGTTTTGGAAATTTCAGTTTTTGTTAGTTCCCCAGTAATCTCTGCTATTGGGACAGTAGCTTCCTCCGGTTCTAGCAGTCCTCAGCTCATCCTGAGTTCTTTGGCTTATCAAGTTGTGGAAATGTGTTTTGGTAATGTATTTGTAATCAGTTTTTGTTACGTTGGTTTCTATTAGCAACTTCTGGTTTTCTTTTTTGATTTTTTGAGTTCTCCTGGATTAAGGAAGGCTTGGAAGCACGATAGGTGTAGACTGGAGGATGACGACAAAGGTCCGCTCTCCTCCGTCTACATCTATTGTACTTTCCTCCTCCTCCTTTTTTGGTAAACTCAGGTTCAAATGTATATTCTGGTTGTGATATAAATATATTTTTATGAACATGGCTTTTCGCCCTGTTTTTGGCTTCAAAAAAAATTAATCAACACTAAACAAAAATCTTGTAAAGTTTCTGTAACCTTATTTGTTTAGCATTAATTAATTAAGCACTAAACTTTACGAGATTTTAAATCTCATAAAGTTTTCATAACTTATTTAGCATTTTCAACCCAAATTCAACTAACTGTACTAAAACTAAATCGAAAATGCTAAATAAATCTCAAGTAGATTGGTTTTTACAAATAAATCTCAAATAGAATTGGTTTTGAGAATTTGTCCACACAATATTTATGCAAGAACTTCTTTGATTGCTGACTTTAACACAATCCTTGGTTCTGCTTAAATAATAATAATTTAATATCAAGGAAGAGACTAGAGAATGAGCTCACGAGAGAAGAACATAGAATAATATAGGAGATCGGTGAAAGAGGGGGGAAAAAGACAACTGAATATGCCAAGCAAATAACTTGGGTCATTTTTCTTTTCTTTTTTATTTTTTTCCTTTTCTTTTTGAACTTTACAACAGTAATGAAGGAACAAGCTCCATAGGCATCATTTCCCAACCCATGGAACCAATACGGACACCAAAGAAACTTGACCAACCATCACAAGCCCAACAATGGAAAGAGAAACAAAAGGCCAAAAAAATGCCAACAAACAGAAAAGGAAATCATGCGAGAGAACAAAGGGGGGAAATGATCTATAAACTGCAGCGGTGATTCCTGCAAGCTGTTGCTGATCGGCAACAATGATCTCAGCCCAATCATGGCACCCGATGCTCTTGGGGAGATTTTCTTGAACACTAACCCCTTTCTTCCTGTACAAATTAGAAGTTAATCTTTCAACGGATTGTCAGGCAAACAACAAACTGAATCCTCGAAGAATGGCATTGTTCAGTAACGCCAATAATTATGAGCTAATGACAGCAGAGACAAGCAAGCCAAGCTTCCAATTGAGGAGTCATTATTCTGCCACATCCACGGCCAACAACACAGCTTCTACAGATTGAGGGTTTGAAACAGACTTCAGATCATCATCTGGCTTTGAGACCTGTGACAATTCTTCAACTTTGAGCTGTACACGTTATAAAACATAGAAAAAAGTAAGGCCTTTGAATAAAAATGAACGAAACACATACTCAAAAGAACATAAATTTTTCTTGACGACTGTTCACTCTGATTATCAGTCTCCATTCTTTAAAAGGGTGCATTATTTTGTGCCATAATCAAATAACAAAATTCATGCGGTTCTCTCGCATTCAAAGTATCATTAACAATTTGGTGGAGTTCAGTAAGTATCCAATAGAAGGAACATTAATGGATAATAATCCATGCAGTATCAAAATTCGTAGACAAGTGTAAATTATAACATGAATAAGACAGTAGACATTACCGATGGAAGGTCAAAATTCGGGATCGGCGGCTTACTCCTCTTATGCTGCATGACCTTCTGCCGGTTCTCATAAAAATCAAAGTCATCCAATATGGAAGTTTTGGATGAGTAGTTCTTGAATATGTTCAAAATTTCAATCCCTTGTGGAAATTTCACCTGATACAAGATAAGCATAAGGTTATGAGCCAATAAATAGATGACATGGATATATTAAACATAAATGTGAATGCTGCCCAACTAGATCAAACCTTACGTAATATTCCAGCCATTGAAACATTCAAATAAGCGAGCAAACAAGAAATTTCCTATCCAGTTTACTTTTTTCCATAAATATAAAATTCGAGAATCATTCCGCCCTCATCATCTATACATGAAGGCAAACTGAAGTTGCGCACAACTCCAGTTTCTGAACGGTCACCGTCTTTGTTAACATGTCTGCTGGATTCTTACTTCCTGGAATCTTTTCCAGTTTCAACACGTCATCTTCCAACAGGGATCTGATGAAGTGGTACCGAAGCGCAATATGCTTCGTTCTAGAATGAAATGCTGAATTCTTCGCCAAGTGTATCGCACTCTGGCTATCACTGTGCAAAACATTCTTCTCCTGTTTGAATCCCAGCTCTGTCAACAAACCCTGAAGCCATATCATCTCTTTACTGGCTTCAGTCACTGCAACATACTCAGCTTCTGTAGTGGATAGGGGAACGATCTTCTGTACCCGTGACATCCAACTAACAGTTGTAGTTCCGACAGTGAATACATAGCCAGTGATGCTTCTTTGGTGATTCTACCTCTCCCTTACCAAAGTGCAAACACTTCTGTGTGGTGCCTCGTAGATATCTCAGAATCCACTTGACCGCTTCCCAATGAGCTTTTCCTGGATTCGACATAAACCGGCTGACCACTCCCACTGCATGGCCAATATCTGGTCTCGTACAGACCATTGCGTACATCAAACTTCTGATAGCTGAGGCGTAAGGTACCTGAGCCATACTCTCTTTCTCTTCTTCTGATTGAGGAGACTGATCATTCGATAGGCGAAAATGGCTAGCCAAGGGTGTGCTCACAGGCTTGACGTCGCCCATGTTGAACCTCTGCAAAACACGGTTGATGTACTCCGTCTGAGACAACCGTAAGAACCCTTTCTTCTTGTCTCTCGTGGTATTCCGAGGATCTTCTTCGCTGGACCCAAGTCCTTCATGTCAAACTCTTTTGACAGCTGCTGCTTCAAACTCTTGATATCCTCCATATCTCCTCCTACAACTAACATATCATCAACATACAGCAGTAAGATGATATATTCCCACGTCTGGTTTGATATGAGAGACTTCATCTCATCTTTCATTGCAAGCTCCCACTTGCTCGCATCTTCACACTGACAAGCTTCATCAAAGTTTTCAGGCTCCCCGCCATCTGTCAACAACAGATAGTTCATGTATCTCCTGTTGGGTACAGGAGGACGAGAAGATCTTCTTAATATCGGAGCTGGTGCGTCGGGCTCCTGTGCACCATCTTGTCCAACAGGCTCTTCTTGCTGAGGACCCTTTGTATTGGGTTCTTTCGAGAGGTTGCTCGGGACATCATCTGCATCTACAAATATTGACTCGCTCTCTGAGTCATCAGTCTTGTGCATGTCCTTGTACATCACCTTCTCGTTGAATATCACATCTCTGCTCCTGATCACCTTCTTGTTTTCGTTGTCCCAAATGCGGTAGCCGAACTCATCTTCACCATAGCCGATGAAAGTGCATTTCTTTGACTTGGGATCAAGCTTATTCCTGCCTTGATCACTAATATGCACGTAAGCTACACAACCGAAAACTTTAAGATGTGAGAGTTTTACCTCTTTTCGGCACCATACCTCCTCTAGTATTCTGTGCTCCAATGGAACCGATGGACCTCGGTTGATCAAGTAAGCTGCTGTGTTGACCGCTTCTGCCCAGAACTGCTTCGGTAGGCCTGACTGTACTCAAATGCTTCTGGCTCTCTCTGTCAACGTTCGGTTCATCCGCTCAGCTACACCATTTTGCTGAGGCGTGCCGGGCACGGTTCTCTCCATTCTGATCCCGTGCTCATAGCAGAACTTTTTGAATCTGGTGTCTTCATATTCACCGCCATTGTCGGTCCTGAGCTTTTTTATTCTCAGACCGATCTCATTCTCGACCATAGCTTTCCATCTCCTGAAAGCCTCAAATACTTCTGACTTATGCTTCAGAAAGTAGACCCATACTTTCCGAGAGTGATCATCGATAAAAGTCACGAAGTAGTATTTTCCACCAATGGACGCGGTGGTTGTTGGTCCCCACACATCTGAGTGAATGAGTTCTAGCTTCTCTTTCCTGGGGGTTCTGTCACTTGTCTGAAAGCTGACTCTCTTCTTCTTTCCGAGTATGTATTCTTCACACATATCCATCTCCACTGACTGCAGTCCTGGGAGTTTTCCCTTTGTGTGCATGATTTTCATCCCCTTCTCACTCATATGACCAAGTCTCTGGTGCCACAGCTTTGAAGTCTCATTGCCTGCTGCAACTGAGATCAAACAACGTGTACCTGTTGTCATATATAATGTACCTGTCTTCCTGCCTCGGGCAATCGTCATTGCGCCCTTTGAGATCTTCCAATCATCTCCATGGAAGGTCGTGGTGTATCCTTCGCCAGCCAACTGGCCTACGGATATTAAATTCTTTCTCAGGTCGGGAATATGCCTGACATCCTTCAGCTCCCATACTGACCCGTTCAACTTAATTTTCACCACGCCTTTGCCCACGATAGCACATGGTTGATCATCACCAAGATATACGTATCCAAGATTTCCGGGAACATACTTCTCGGAGAATTCTCTCTGAGAGGTAGCATGGAACGACGCTCCTGAATCTAACACCTAAGATTCCTCCTTGCTCTCCAAAGAGCATATCAATGCGTCGTCTCCTCCTGAAGTGGAGGTGACATTGACCTCTGCCTTCGCTTCCTTCTCCTTCTGTGCGCTCTTGCACTGATTCTTGTAATGCCCGGTCTTTCCACTCAAAAAAAAAAAAAAAAAAACCATAGCCCGCAATCCTAAAAAAATGATCAGAAGATAAATAATATCCAAACCTTCAACTCCATGATTTAGCAATTACTAATCATGTAGGTGACCTGAACCATACAGAGATAATTAAGGATGAGAAACCCGCACCTTGTAAATTAGTAAACAACAATGAATTGTTGGCATAAACACCAAAGCCTACTGCTATAATATTCTACTACTCTCAAAACGCTAAACTGTATAGGACCACATAGTACTAGGAGAGGTACAGCACTACAGTACAACACTTTATTCTTCCAGTCAGACAGATTGAGGCAACTCAGTTCTCATCGCTGGAGTGTTTACTTCTTCTTTCGACATAAAAATCATCACCTAACAAGAAAAAGGCCCAGTATTTTTCAGTTTGTCCATTACCATGATCAAAACTAACAAAAGATGTAGCTCAGCCAGCTCAGCCTGCACGTATTGTATACATAAGCTACATGTATATGGCTTTATCAGTTGAAGCTCCTACGCATATTAATCTTTAAGTTACGGCCTCAACATTCCCTCTTTTCTCGTTCTTTTTTGTGCTGACGTCCTCAGCATTAATTTTGTTCAACTGATGCCCTCAAGATTCCCACGTTGGGTCTTGTTGGAGAGACCAAACACAGCCAATTTTCGATATCTCAATTAACTCTCAGTGAACTCTCTACGAATGGATACAAAATTTACAATTACACTTAGACGCTTGACCATTTCAACTACCAATCAGAGAGTTATGCTACTCTCCAGCAGAGATATGCTATCAATAACAAGTAATAGGGTGGAGCCAAAAACTGTTGGGAATTTAACGCCGAAATCCCTAATGCAACGGAAACGCAGAATAGAAAAAAGTACACCAAGTTTTAACGAGGTTCGGCAACTGCCTACGTCCTCGGGAGCCACAAATTTCTTATTAATCTAACAAGAGATTACAATTCAAGAGCAAATCCCTAAACTGAGATTTCTCAAATGAACACTGTAGCTACAGTGTTAATAATCTCTGATACCAGTTGTTGGGAATTTAACGCCGAAATCCCTAATGCAACGGAAACGCAGAATAGAAAAAAAATACACCAAGTTTTAACGAGGTTCGGCAACTGCCTACGTCATCGGGAGCCACACAGTAAATTTCTTATTAATCTAACAAGAAATTACAATTCAAGTGCAAATCCCTAAACTGAGATTTCTCAAATGAACACTGTAGCTACAGTGTTAATAATTAAAGGGAATAATCCCTTTCAATTCTCTCTTGAGAATAATTAATGTTCCACAGATAAATTAATTCTCTCTCTCTCTCTAATTTCCTCTTCTTTAAATCCCCCCTTTCAATCACGTGAGAGGTGCTGGAGATCAAAGAGAACCGAAGGGGAAAATTTTCGCCGCCGCTGCCTGGAATCGAAGAAAGAGAGAAAGGGGGAAGAACAACAGAAACCCTAGGGCATCGGGGGGCTTTTATAGCCGAGCTCGTTGACAGGCTGGCGACAGCCTGTCGCCAGCCACGCGCGCGGCCCACTGGGACGCGAGGGTCGAGCTTGGACGCGAGGGTCACTAAGAACGCGGAGGTCGGAGCGCTCGCACGCGGAGCTCGGGGGCGATCGCACGCGGAGGTCAGGGGGGCGTTCGCTCGAAGGGCTCGAGCTCGCCTGCGCCATCCTGCTTTGCCTGCGCCATTCTCGAGCTCGTCGGAGCTCGTCGGAGCTCCTCGTCGCCGGCGGAGGTTGGTTTCCACCCCCAATTCTAACAAAAACAACTCACCAATATTTGTTTACACTGGAGATGAGGGTGCTCTCGAGGGAGACATGAGCGCAGCTGGGTTCCTTGTTGACAATGCTGCACGCTTCCAAGCACTTGTGGTGGTTATAGAGGTTAGATCTTATTACTCACAAGATGAACGTTTCACTTTCAAAAATTGAAAAAAAAAATATGTTAATCATATTCTTTTGTCAAACTAAACAGCTTATGGTCCTATATCCGTAGTGTATGCTAGTGCAGTATGGCTAACTGATATTTAACCTTCACATCTGCAAAGAATAATCTACAGAAACTATTACAAGTACGTGCATGTACAAATTCAATACAAAAAATGACACGTGTATGTATGCATATTACTATATGAAATATTTTCAAATTTACAGAAGTGGAAGTTACCCATTATTGAATATTTATATATTATTCTGAAGAAAATTGTAGTTGTGAATGCCTGGAGTTGCTTTATTAATTGGAAAAATACAAAATCTCAGAAAATATCCTTA